CGACCAAGTGTCAAATATCTGGCTCAGCCTACCTCGACACATCCAAGGATGGACAAAGTCAATGCAGAAGTAGATCCCAGGAAAGGTATCTCGGCCATGCCAGCAATTTCCCGTGCCGTCACGGCTGCAAGAGAAGTATATGTGATGAGATCCTTGAACTTTGTAGACAGTTGCATCGGGGCCACTCTCAAGTGTGATGGGGACCACCTAGGGATGCTGTGCTTATATCTGGACTTCCACAAATAGGACTCTCATATATCAATCAAGAAGTAGCCGACAATTCTAGACAGGCGGAAGAATTCCAGTGGGTTGCGAACACCATTTTTAGTGTGGCATGAACCCAGCAACATGACACGGCACTTCTGATTTATGAAGATGCACAGAAAAAGTACAAACTCGAGGATAAGGCCAGTCTGCACAAGTTCAAAGCTAATTGCTGACGCTGCAGTTCCTCATCAAAGAGCATCGGCCCCACCATCAGGGAGAGGGAGGACCTTCAACCTATTTAATTGCTGGTTCGCACGCCCCATTAAGATTTTTATCAGCTTGAGAAAGGCAGGAGAAGAGCATATGCTATTCGAAGATGATCGACCTTGGCTGAACGAATACATATCAATGGCCATGTCTCCTGCATCGAACTGTCGTACAGCAGAAACGGCTTTGCGAGGAGGAAGCGATAAATATAATGAGCTGACAGAGAGAGCAAAAGAAGAAACGAGCAAAGATTCGGGAACGGTACTTCTGATTTATGGAGATGCACAGAATAAGTACAAACTCTAATCTCGTTACCAGACACTCTGCCCCTGCGGGCCGCTGGACCATCGGAGTTCGAAAAATGTAGGGCAGAGATTCGGTCAGAACTTCACACACCCGAACAAGGTTTTTATCAGCTTAAGAAAGGTAAGAGAAGCTATTCGAAGATAGTCGACCTTTAGCTAAACGAATACATATCAAGGGCCATGTCTCCTGCATCGAACTGTCATGCAGCAGAAACGGCTTGCGAGGAGGAAGCGCGGTGCAACGATAAATATAATGAGCTGACAAAGAGAGCAAAAGAAGAAACGGGCAAAGATTCGGGACACCCTACATAGCATCTGCGACAGAGTCCGCGCTCAATCCGCGCCGCAACCATCAGCGGACAAACGACAGCGACCCCCCCAAGGCACTCCCCGACTTCGGCACCCCTCTCCACATTACGCCATTCTCGCAAGCGCCACCGACAATGGATCGCGCCCATGCGTGTGCTCATGAAGCCCTTGCGCAGCAGCTGCCGCGCATCCATGACGCGCGTGCAGGTCGTCGAATCCAACGGTCGACCGCGTCCTCGTGCGCCTGCAGCCCCCGGCGGAATCGACGATGTCACCGCGAGGCGCCGTGCCGCGCGGACGGAAGGTCTGCAGTCGCAGCCCGCCTAGGCGACCCGCATCTTCTGACGCCCACGCCCGCTACGGCATGTCGCATCTCCGCCTAGGCTTATCCTGCAGCACCACCAGCAGCGGAGTCGGCCTTCTCTACTCGGGGCATCACCAACGCCGCCTGGCCCTGCCTGGGTAGCGGGGCACGATAGCAAGAACCGCGCCGCATGGGCTTCAGAGGACGCTCGCACAGAGTCGCGCGCACACATCTGAGACAATACGGGACGGATAGCAGACGCCGCCGTCCCAAAACGACAGTAGCGCACGATTCGCGCCGCCCCTCTCCGCCGTGTCGCGCGGTCTCTCTCGCGCGGGATGCGCACGAGCATGCAGACCCTGTCAGGCTCTGGCGCGGGCGGGGAGGGACGAAGAAACGGAAAGATAAGGGCGCACCCATCAATACAAGATATGTTCGCGAACGTTGGTGGCGGCGGGGACTTCATCCGCGCCTGACACGCCGCATCGAGCAGGACCGGGGCGGAGGTGATGCGCTGCGGATTTACGCGGTCTGAGTAGGTATAATTTATGCCCACTCGGACCGCGTAATTAAAACGCGTCAGCGATGAATGTCCGATATATAATGTGAGAATACACACGCCGCAGGACTCGCGCAGGTTCGGATACTGCACAAGCCAGCTCCGTGGGGGTGATGGGCGTCCGGCGCGGGAATGCGCGAGGCGGTATAACGTAGCGAATGCCGCTTGTCGATGGCATTGGGCGGGACATGTACGAAGAACGGAAAACTACGACGAGTATGAGACCCGGTATGCAAGTGTGGGTGAGGAAATACGGGCATACCTCTCTTCCACCGGCCGGTGCGGTGTCTCGAGCCGGAGGTCTACGTCCGCGTCCGCGTGTGGGCCGGCCGGCAGTGTAGTCGATGTGCCGTCGCCGCCGACGACGAGGACGACGAGGTGTAGAAGAAACCTGTAGACAGAAGGTGGAACTCAGTGGTACTGTGCACAAGCTGCAACAAGCCCCCCCTGCGCTCCCGCTTCCTCGACCACAGACCCCAGCACCATCACCACCGCAACAGGTTGCGCGCGCAGGCCGCGGGGCCGCGGGTGCGGGCGTGTGTCGATCGTCTTCTGTGGGAGCACCATCAGCTGCTGCCGTGTCGATTGCGGGCGCATGGTCCGCGTGGTGCGGCGCCGGCGTGTCATCCGTGCGATGCGGTGGATCTGCTGTCGCCGCCGCCGACAAGGACGACGACATGTAGACAGAAGGTGGAAGTCAGTGGTACTGTGCACAAGCTGCAGCAAGTCCCGCTTGCGCTCCCGCTTCCTCAGCCACAGACCCCCGCACCATCGCCACCACGCGTAGGCCGCCGAGTCGATCGTCTTCGGTGCAGGAGTAGCATCAGCTGCTGCTGTGTCGATTGCGCGCGCATCGTCCGCGTGGTGCGGCGCCGGCGCATCATCCGTGCGATGTGGCGCCTGCGCGTCGGGTACGTTGGCCTTAGGCGCGTTGGACGCGTCGCCCTTGGGTGCGTCCGACGCGTCGACGCCTCCCGCAGGCTCTTCGGGGTTTACGGGCACTTCGTCCTCGTCCGCTTTCTCCGCAGGTCCTACACGGGGGGAAATAGTGTCAGCGGGGGTATCATAAGAGAGCGGGTCGGGCGGGAAGGCCGATGGGAGAGGGGAGTGTGCATATGAAATGAAGGCGAAGAGCGAAGTGAGAAAGATAAGAGCGAAATAATAATAAAAATAATGAAATGGGAATAAATTAAAAAAGAGCGAAATGAGAATAAATGAAAGAGCGAAGTGAGAATGACAAGAGCGACGCGGAAAGAACGCGCGCGGGTGAGGAAGGAAGGACGGACGGTCCACGTAGAATACAATACAAGATACACGGCAGCGAGAGAGAGAAGTAAATAGATAGATAATGGATAGGCGAGAAGAAGTAACAGAATGATGAGAAGGGTGGCAAGCCCCGCGTTGGTATGTAGTGTGTGTTGAAAGGGCGCCGGTAGAATGTCGACGCGGGCAGGTACAGCATCCCCATGGGTCGGTGCGAGACAGGCGGTGCGCAGGTGGCGCGATGATAAGCGGCAGCGCAGTTCAGATAAGCAGGCGAGCAAGAGGGCGGGAGACGAAGGGAACAGTGTATATGCATGTGATCGGATGTTGCAGGATGTTGCGGGCAAGGACCCGTCACGGTTGTTGTGATGCGCTCAGGGTTCCCACGGTAGACGTGATCGGCTGCCTATTTTGGGATATTGTGGTTCAAGTTGAGTTTTCCGTTTATAGCAGGCTTTGTATTTTGTGGCGGCGATTATAAATTATAAGTTGCCATCCGCATCTTTTGTTAAGTAAAGGAGAGAACAAAAAAAAAAAAAATCGTGAATTCCGTGCACGCATCGGCCGGGAATCGAACCCGAGTCCCTCCCTGTATTCTCGCGGTATACTCACAGTAAAGAGGCGTGCACCGTGCACCACCGATGCGTATTTCACTTCCTTCTAAGCTGAAAACCATCCACATTTTTGGTTGGATTTTTCAGCAACAAAAGCAATGAAAGACTATGCATTAACGGGGAGTCGAACCCCGTCTTCCTCCTTTCAGCCAACGAGTCGAGCCATTGTAAGGAGGTGTGCACCATACACTACCGATACTTTAACTCCATACCTTACAACCTGAATAAGGTCTCAAACTCTTGGTTGAATTTCGTTTACAAAAAAGAATCTAGATGCAGAATCCCCATGCACCGGCGGGGAGTCGATCCCCGTTCGCCTCCGTTCAAAGTTCTTTCAAATCGGATCATTTTCGGGAGGTGTGTACCATGCACCACCGATGCGTATTTCCCTTCCTTCGAAGCTGATAACCATCCAGACTTTTGGTTGGATTTTTCAACAATAGCAAAAAAGGAGAGCAAATTGAAAGCACCATGCATCGGCGGGGGTTGAACCCCGTCCTCCTCCATTCAACCTTTGCTGAACGATCAGTGTAAGGAGGTGTGCACCATATACCACCGATGCTTTAACTCCATACCTTACAACCTGAATAAGGTCTCAAACTCTTGATTGAATCTCGTTTACAAAAAAGGTACAACATCCAGAATCTCCATGCACCGGCGGGGAGTCGATCCCCGTTCGCCTCCGTTCAAAGTTCTTTCAAGTCGGATCATTTTCGGGAGGTGTGCACCATGCACCACCGATGCGTATTTCCCTTCCTTCTAAGCTGATAACCATCCAGACTTTTGGTTGGATTTTTCAACAATAACAAAAAAGGAGAGCAAATTTAAACACTATGCATCGGCGGGGAGTCGAACCCCGTCCTCCTCCTTTCATCCACCTGACAGAGCCAGTGTAAGGAGGTGTGCACCATACACCACCGATGCGTATTTCCCTTCCTTCTAAGCTGATAACCATCCAGACTTTTGGTCAGATTTTTCAACAATAACAAAAAAGGAGAGCAAATTGGAAGCCCTATGCATCGGCAGGGAGTCGAACCCCGTCCTCCTCATTTCATCTTTTGCTGGACAAACCATACACCACCGATGCTTTAACTCCATACCTTACAACCTGAACAAGGTCTCAAACTCTTGATTGAATCTCGTTTACAAAAAAGCAACATCCAGAATCTCCATGCACCGGCGGGGAGTCGATCCCCGTTCGCCTCCGTTCAAAGTTATTTCATGTCGGATCATTTTCAGGAGGTGTGCACCATGCACCACCGATGCGTATTTCTCTTCCTTCTAGCCTCACCGGCATCAGAACCAGTCCTGTCTCATTTAATTTCAGCTCAAAAAAAGTCCTAGAAACCTATCCACCGGCAGGGAATCGAACTCCGTGCTCCTCCTTCGGTGACAGCAGCCCATTAGGAAGGGAGATGTGCACCATACACCACCGATGCGTATTTCCTTTCCTTCTAATCTGAATATGCTATGGTTCAATACTGCACAGTACTATTCCGGGGTGATCGAACCCCTGCGGGCGGGAAGTATAGACCATGCGCCACTAAGTGCATACCGAAAGGTTTCTGGGTGTATTTCAGTCCAAAAAGAAAGCAGAAGCGTTAGGAGATTAATAATACATCGGTGGGGAACCGAACTACATTCTCCTCCATCATTTCTTTAAATTTTACCTTATGTGTAAGGAAGGGAGGTGTGCGCCATGCACCGCCGATGCTTACTTTTCTTCCTGCTATGGGCTTTGTGCGGAAGTTGACTGCGAGATTATATCTGCATTGTTTCGTGAGTGGGAACTGAACGAAAAAAAAAAGCAACGTCCACATTCACGCGTCGGCCAGGAATCGAACCCGCATCCCTCCCTGTATGTACTTCAACTTGGCCTCTTCACAGTAAAGAGGTGTGCACCATGCACTACCGGTGCTCCTCTCCCTTCCTTCTAACTTCGCTAAGAACCCCACTCTGCCGTTGACTTTGGCTACAGTTGCCAGCTCACAAAATAAAATAAAACGCAATGAAGCCACGTATGCATCGGCAGGGAGTCGAACCCCGTTCTCTTCGTTCGACTTTCTATTGAAGTATCCCCCGAATTTAGAGGAAGTGTGCGCCGTACACCACCGATGCTAACCGGAATAAATCGCCAACAGTAAATGGTCCGGGGGGTATACTACATATACTCCGCCGTAATTGCATTACCATTCCTGTTTTCCGGTAAGCGGTGTGGACCATGCACCAGCGATTCCTCTCCCAACCCTAAGCAGTGATGAACAATTTCAGAGTGTACTTCAGTCCTAAAAAAAAAACCGGAGGAGCCGTATATGCATTGGCGGGGAGTCGAACCTCGGCTGGCTCCTTATGTTTCTGCTGCGGATTAATACAAAGGAGCCGTGCACCATACACCACCAGTGCTTTATTCCCTTCCCTCTAACCTGAATAAGCTGACTTTTTGTTGAATTTGATTACAAAAAGATGGTGGATAGAGGGTCAAGCATACATGGCGAACCCCGTTCTCCTCATTCAACGAGAACTTTCTTGATAAGGTAAGAGAGGCGTGCACCGTGCACAACCGATGCATATTTCTCTTCCTTCTAAGCTGATAACCATCCAGACTTTTGGTTGGATTTTCAAAAATAACAAAAAAGGAGAGCCGATTAGCCCTATGCATCGGCGGGGAGTCGAACCCCGTCCTCCTCCTTTCAACCAACTGGTAGAGCCAGTGTAAGGAGGTGTGCACCATACACCACCGATGCTTTAATTCCCTTCTTCTCAACTGAATAAGCTGCCAATTTGTGATCGTTTACAATCCTCCTCTTTCACTTGACTGGAGGTATCTCATAGTAAAAAGGCACGCACCATACACCACCAATGCTTCATTCCCTTCCTTCTAACTTCGCTAATGTCCCAACTTTTGGTCAAATTTCGTTTAAAAAAAAGACGGCAGTTGGGATGAAAGCATCGGTGGGGAATCGAACCCCGTCCTCTCCTATCAAGTTTACAGTGGGGTGCAATACTAGTCTTGACTGGGAAGTTGGTCACCTAAGGGTTCTTGTGCCTGCAGAACAAGCTATATTGCCAACCAGGGCCATTTGTGTTGAGAGGATGTAGGTTGGGGTCCTAAGAGTCTACCTTGAACAGGGATTGAGCTTGTGCTAAGTTGGGATTGCTTGGCGAATATTTTCGGCTGGCGTGTCCAAAAGGGGGAAAAACTAGGAAGTTGGCCGGTCGCGTTTGAGGACAGGAGAAAATTGCCAGCGGGAGTTGGTGCCTTCTAGTATGAGCCTTTAGGTCTACTGAAGGTGTGTAGAAAATTTGGTGCCTCTAGCACTTCATATTATCTTGATATAAGGGTGGCCAACTGACAGCCTGTGACATGAAAGTGTAATTTTTGAGAAGAAGCCGGCCAGCCAGAGAGCAAAGAGAAGTTCAAATGGCCAAGAATGTTGCCTTGCTTAAACGCAAACATTGCCCGAGTAGAAAGAGCTCCAGACGTCGTGGATCGAACAAGAATTGAGGGAGAACGAGGCGATTTGGCGTCGTGGGAGATCAAGAAAAGCGCCTGTTCCGCCATCAACCCCTTCTAAAATTGGCTGCAGCTTGGCATCAACTGAACCAAATCCCGTCAGATTTTGTTTGAAGAGACACCTCAACATCCTCTCCAACCTACAACCGACATCTAATGACAAAACTTTATATTCAGGGAGTATAGCTCCAATGGCCAACTACCCCGGGTGGCCAACTACCTAGTCAAGACTAGTAGGTCAGGAAGGTTTGCACCATGCGCCACCGATGCTTTAATTCCTTCCTTTTAACCTAATAAACCTCCCCACTTATTTGTTGAGTTTCACGAAAGATGCTCTTGCTCTTCATGCCCCGAAGAATAGAACACCCCCAAGCGAGTTTCATGCGACACCTCAATGCGGTGGAGGGGTCCCTAATTTTGGCTCCCGGCTCCCACTATCCCACTAAATCGAACCCATCCATACGTAATTCCATTGTAATTCCTCGACATGAGCAGCATTGATTTTGGGACTCAACTTGAGCTGAGTTTTCGGTTATGAGTCAACAAAAAGTGCGGTTGGTGGGGAACATGTAGGTGCGATCATTATCTGTATGTAGCAAAAGCAAATTTTCCCCTGAAGAAAACCTATGCATCGGCCGGGAATCAAACCTGTACTATCCCTCCCTGTAAGTACTTCCCTGCGCACAGTAAAGAGGTGTGCCCTGTGCACCACCGATGCTTTATAAGTAACCAAGACTGCAATTTCTTGGTTCCAATTGTCGTAAAATAAAAAGGGTAATGTCTGCCAGTACATCAGCGAGAAGTCGAAGCCTGTCCTCCTCCGTTCAACTTTCTCCATAGGTAGCACAGGAAGGTTAAGGAAGTGTGCACTGCGCACCACCGATGCACCTTTCCATTTCTCTAAACTGCGTAAGATCCCAACTTCTCCGTTGGATGTTTCAACAAAAAACAAAGTGCCACTCCTCATGGACCAGGAGAGAATCGAACTCCGTTCTCCTCCTTCGACTGTCACACATAGTGCTTACGGAATTGAGGCGTGCACCGTGCACCACCGATGCTTTAGTCTCTTCCTTCCAACCTAAATAACCTGCCAACTTTTTATGGCTGAATACTGTAGCAGAAAAAATTGAAAGGCTCATACAATGGTTACCAGCAAATCGGCGGGGAATTGAACCCCGTTCGCCTCCTTATGTTGAAGAGATTGCCTTTTAATCGGAAGAAGTGTGGATCATGCACCACCAATACATATTTCTCTGCTATCAGCCCGACAAAGGTCCTAAATTCTCTTGGTTGAATTATGTAAATCTCACCTATCTTCCTTTAATTTCTATTTCAACTCCTGGAAGCACGAAACACACACCAGCGATACAAATCCTCCGGCATATAAACTTCGCTTACAGTCCCGGACAATCAAACATGACAAAAAAAAAAACTAGCTCAGAAAGTATCTGAACGATAATAGCTTATCAAACACTGCTCAACGGCATCTGAAAAAAAGGGACTTACAGGAGAAGATCACTCTCAGACCATGTGGAATATTGAAAGAAATTCATGTACAGTTGGTTGTGCAGATGGGAATACTTACTTCACATTTTCACAGGATGTAGTTCTTGCACATACTAAATATGATAGTGAATTTACAATTATATATACATAGGGAGAGACAGAATGATATGAACCTGGAGTGTGCATGGCACGTCGAGAACAGGAGGGTATGTATATCCAGGAGTGCAAGGAAAGGGGGAAAGAGAAAGAGATTCAAACTAAGCTTCCTCTCAGCGTGCCTGATCAAGATTCTTCATTTTCCTCAATGTGTATGTCTTCCAGCTCCCCAACAGATTCCTTCAAATCTGCGAGTTGTTGGAGTTGCTTTTCATACTCCTCCATAATGGCCAAATCCACATCAGCAAGCTTCCTGTCAATTCGAGTTATATCCTTGGCTTGGGAGGACCTCTGGAACAGCGGCTGTGCTGCTTTCCATAACTCAACTGACTTCATGATCTCTCCTCTGCGCTCCCAGATATCTGCAATGTGAACCATACAATCAGCCCTCCACTGATGGACATCCATGAATGTCAATCCATCCAGAGCAACAGTAAAGAGACTGAGAGCTGTATCATCGTCTCCTTGAGCAGCAAATATCTGCCCAAGACAGCGGAAAGCTTTCATTATGCAGAGCTTGTCCCTGGACCTCAATGCCAATGTGAGAAAGATTCCTGCCCATCGCATTGTTGTTTGGATATTGCTCATTTCTGTAGAAAGATCTGCAAGTCTTGAGAGGCTGGTCATTGCTAATTCCATGCCGGAGTCCACCGTCTCCGATGAAAATATCTGTGTGAAGAGTACATTGGCAGTGGTGTGATCTCCATCCCGAAGACAGAGACCTGCAAATATTACATCGGCAACAAGACGCATAGATGTCTGTGCTAGCCCATGTGCATTCTGGATGTGGGTACAGCAAGTGTCCATGTGGTGACGAATCACCTCGGAGTTTACACCAGTCAGTATTTGAATATGCGCAATGTTCAGGTTTGCCATAATTGCCATACGTGTTTTCGGATGGACATCACCGGTTGAGGATTTCAGATTTTTCACTGATAATTACAGTGTAAAATGAGGGACATTTCTCACCTATTTTTCAGTGTAAAAAAAGATGAAAAATGTGTGAAATTTTTGAAACAATTTCACATTTTTCAGCTAAAATCCAAAAATTGGTGAAAATGTTATACATTTTTCACAATTTTCTCACTGAAAAAATGTGTGAAAAATGTCTGTCATTTTTCTCTGAAAATAGTGGTGAAAAATGTGAAATATTCAACCAGTGCATCGGCTGTAATGGAGATCTGTATGCGAAGAGAATCCATATATTCTGTTTTCAAAAGATGTATCTCAGCCTCATTATTTAGGGTATTCATATTTGGTAAGCCCTTTTGTTCACCACAAGAGTGCAGAAGATTCCTCGCTTTTTTCAGAACACATAAAGCTTGTCGATAGTTTCCTAGCAATATCAAGTATACACTCTGGTGAGCAAGGCAGTTGGCCTGTGAGCCGATATCTCCAAGATGTTCGGCATATTCTTGTGCCTTTTTTGAGTTTTGCAATGCACTCAGAGGATTTCCTTTGCTGAGCATGACTTCAGAAATACCAAGTAGGGCACGTGTGCCAGGTGCGGTGGGGGATCTAGTCATGTCTGACCAAAAAAGGGCCTTTTTATAGCACTCAAAAGCAGCAGCCACATTTGACTTTCCATAGAGAAAATAATGTGCAAGAGCTCGGTTCCACTTAGCTGACCAAAAAATTAGTTTTCAAATGACAAAAGACATTTATAGGCCCACCTTGTTGCAATGAGCTCTTGTCTCGGAAAAACTCATTCCCTAAGCTGATCTGGCTCTCTGCATCTGGCAAAGGCAATATTGCAGAAGTGTCAAAGTACTCAATCAGATAGTCTCCAAAGATTGGGTGGCTGTCCCATTGTGAACGTTGTGCTGACAAACTGAGAATGAGCGGGGAATATGTTATAAGTATCCTCCCATAAAAATGATTTAGAAGCAGGATATCTTCAATATTCTGCAGAATATGGGGACCCTTTGTCCGGAATGCATCCCCCAGAACACTGTTGAGATTACCCAAGTTTTGGGTAATTTGTGGTATTATGTTAGCTGCATTCAAAACTCGGAATTGATTCCAGAGATCCAGAAGTCCATGAAAGTGTTGCCTGAGTTTCATCTTAAGTGCATTGTTTGGAGGGTGAATACTGAGTGTATGCTCTCTGATTGGAACAAGAGCTTTTAGTCGATGATCCTGGTCAACAAATGCCAATGAAGTCTTGAGAAGAATAACTTTGGAGGCAAGGATATTGGGAATTGGGAGTTTGGATTGCACCAGATCAACATCTGTGAGGCCATCTGGCAGGATTGCAAGAATTCCAAGCAGATCCTGGGCACCTGCTGTCATGCGTGAACTTGTGAAAGACAACATAATAGAGATATCCAAGCTAGATCTCTTGTCATATCCATCTGAAAGCATGCGAGTGCTTTCAGTATTCCATCTCGAGAGCGCCTTTTCACAGCCTTCATGGGCAGCCACACTTGCCATGAGGCTGACTGCTAGTGGCATATTTCCTGTAAGTTCAAGGAGCTGCTTGACACTTTCCACTTCGTGGCTGTCGCCTGCAACATCAATAAATGTCTGAAGTGCTGCTGGACCAGAGAGTGATTTGAGCGGTGCCAG